TGTGATAGCCAATTTAAGAGAACATTATGTGGTTGGGAAATTTTGTTTCCTGCTGGGGAAAAATGCTGCAGAAACTTTTGTGATGTTGAACACATCTTACAAGGACAGCACTATGGGAAAAACGTAAGTGTTTACAAGTAGTTTTCTCATTTCAAAAAAGGTGAAAGAATAAATGATGACAAACCTAGTTCTGGACATCCGTCAACTTCCCAAATGGATGAAAATGTCAACAAAATGCATGCATTTATGCTCAAAGGACAATGAAGGGCTATTGAAGAGATGGTGAAGTTACCTGGACTGGCTTGGAGCTTGTTCAGTGAATTTTAATTGAAGATTTGAGTATGAGAAGGGAAGCTGTTAAATTTGTGTCTCGGGTTCTGACAGACCAGGAGAAAGTGCCTTGAGTGGAGACATGCTGTGCTTTGAAAGATCAGCTCCGAAGTGACTCAGAATTTTTTCCAAGGTTATTTCTGGTGAGAAGTCATGGTGCTATTCTTATGACCTGGAAACATCAGTCAAGCCAGTGGAAGACACCATTGTGACCTATCCTTCAAAAGCTCAAGTGAAATCAAAGATCAAGTCGAGGCTCATATTTTTTTTAAACATCATTTGTAAGGTAGAATTGTGGTCATGATAGTGGGGTAGAGGGGAAACATTAAAGAACTAAAGGAAAGCTGTATGTTTCATCGGTGCTATACTGTACCCTGACTGACCCGTCTTCTCCCCACGACCCTTCTGTAAGGGGATGTCCGATTGCTTACAGATTGGCTTTGGGCCTCCATTTCGCACTCGCCGCCTCATTCACGTTATTTTTTGCTTTAGGTCTTTGATGCCTGATACCTGATCCCATTGACACCTCATGATCACACAGGCTGGTGTGCTTCTTCCATGTGGGCTTTGTTGCTACTCAGCTAGATTACCACTTGTTCATCTTCAAGCCTTTAAGACCCCAGACACTATAGCTTTTGATAGCCAGGCAACATCAGTTTTCTTCACACATTTGCTTATGCACCAGCTTTGTCTTCCAACGATATTGTCGGGAAGGTGAACATCTCAGAGTGCCGGATTATTAGAAAAAAGTGTTTTTGTGTTGAGGGAGTACTTGAGTAGAGGCCCAACGTCCATTTGCTTCCTTAATATTAAATCTATAAATATATGTACTTATATCTATTTCCCTGTCATTTTTTTTTAATGTGAGGAGGTTAGTGCATTTGGAGTTTGTTCCACCAGGTCAGACTCTTAATCAAGCTTTCTACTTAGAGGTTCTGAAAAGATTGCATAACTGCGTGCAGCAAAAAGGTCTAATTTGTGGCAGACAGGACTGATTTTGCCACCACGACAATGCACCTGCTCATGCAGCCACCTCAGGGTGCCAGTGTTTGGCAAAAAAAAAGACAACGCATACCTCTCTTACCACATGCACTTTACTCACCTGACTTTGCTCTGTGTGACTTAATTGTTGTTTCCATGAATGGAGAGGGGCAATGTGAAAGAGCAGCAATTTGAGAACTTAGAAGAGGTGAATTAAAAAAAAAGGGAGGTCCTGTCAGCCATTCAAACATGTTTCCAAGAATGGAATTGCAGATTTGACAAATATATTAAGTGTAATGTAGCGTACTTTGAAGGTGATAAGATTGTTTTGTAAAAAAAATAAATAAATTTATAGCTTGGGGGGAGGGAATTTTGTTTTGGGGTGAGTACTACCTTGTATGTGTATAGATTTTAATCATCTTTTCCCCCCAGTGAGAAGCTTGGTACCTAATAACATCATTTGTTCAGTTCTGTAACACATAAAATACTTTTGAGAATTCCTATGCTTTGAAAAATGAGAATATGACACAGCTAATAAGACCACCTAATAATTCTATTGTTTTTTTGGCACAGTCAAAAATATATATAGACAATTCTTTGTACAAAGTTATTTAGTAATTAGGTTGAATTGTTGTTGTTTATATATACAAATTCAGAGTACTTTTTCCACTTCTTCCTATTGAAGTTTATTTTTTAATACGTAAAACTTGAATCCCTGGAGTAAGGAACAGTATGATGGCGCTTCAAGGGGTTCATGGATAAATGTAATCAAAAGACAATGAAATTTTTCCACAAACTTTTCAAAACTCCTCCTCAGAAATATCCCTTCCTTTCTCTCTTTTCTATTCCATTCCCACCCACTCTTTTACTTAACCAATTTCGTTTTGATTTCTTCCAGTCTTATAAAAGTAAGCAAATGATTGCATGTAACTGCCTACGTTTTAAGCTTGGCTTTACTCATTGACTAAAATATTCTTCACATAATTATACCTATCAGAGTTCTTGGGAAATTTTGCAAGAGGACTCAGTTTTGTAGACTATTTAACCAGTGTTTTTATGTACAGGGTGTTTAGCTTTCTAATTTTTCCCATTATAAAGAAACTGCAGTGAATAATTTTTGCATGTGTATTTATTGGAGGCACATATACCAGGGTGCTTAAAAAAGTTTATGAAAAAGTTTCATGTTTTTAATTTCATTTTTCTGTGAACTCTGACACCCTTTTGTATATACACCAAACTACTTGTCTTCTATTTGATTCTGACTTAGAGAATGCCAAGTGTCTCAGAGTAGACTGTGCTTCATAGGGTTTCCAATGGCTACGATTGTTCTGAAGTAGATGCTCAGAACTTCCTCCAAGGTATCTGACAGATTTGTGCCACAAATATTATGGCTCGTAGCTGAATGATTAACCATTTTTGCTGCCTTGGGCTTCCATTAAGGATCCTTGGAGGCACAGAAGGTTAAGCATGAAGCTGTTAACCACAATGCCAGTGGTTCAAATCCACCAGCCACTGTGAGGGAGAACAAGATGAGGCTGTCTGCTTTGGTAAAGACTCGCAGACTCGGAAACCTTAAGGAGCAGTATTACTTTGTCCTTCAGGGTTGTTAGGAGTAAGAACCAATTCAATGGCAGTAGGTTTTTACCAAGGACTGATGGAACCGTCTGATAAGTATTGGACTGCTAATGTCAAGGTTGGGAGTTCAAACCCACCAGCTTCTCTCTGGGAGATATATGAGGCTATTTGCTCCCTCTAAGATTTACAGCCTTGGAAACTCTAATAGGGTTGGAATTAGCTATGAGTTTGATTTTGGTTTTGTAATGGGTTCCAGGCAATATTCTAGGCAAATTGTTCACCCAGATTCAGCTTCTTGACTTCTGTCTACTACAGTTGAGGAGAAGCTTGAAGGACAGCGAAGCTAAGGGAATTGGTTCCCATCATATGCTAATAGGTGATGGAGCCAGCATCTAAGTCCATTTGACTCAGGGCCCATGTTCTTAATGAAGAGGCAGTACTATTTCAGATCAGGTATCCTAGCAACTACTTAGAAGCTAGAATGGACTCATTGAAACGAGGACTATTTTCTTTTTAAAAAAAAAAACTATTGTTTTGAAATAGGTCATACATGCACATTGAATACACATTAAAAAATCTCTCTCACACCTCCCCAAGTTTATTGTAGGTTCAAGTAAAGTGAAGTCACTGACAACGTGAATATTTTCTCCATTCATCTTGATGTTTATTGGTCCTCTTGTGAGGATTTTTTGTTTACCTTAATTTATACTGAATATAATTTTGATCTTCATCAGTAAGTGCTTCAAATTCTCCTCCTTTTCAGCAAGCAAGATTGTGTTATTGCAGGTTTTTATTAATGAGCCTCCAATTCTGATGTGATCTTAGGACAGTTTTTTTTTTTTTAAGGCATAGAGCTGATTTTTGGATTTAAATTCAGTGTTTTCCTTCACTAGGAAAAACAACCATACCAACTGAGAAATATGTGCATCTAGTCAAACTATTAGGGACCCTGGTAACTCAGTGAGTAAGCAGTCAGGTACTAACCATTCAACCCTGCCTCGCAGTCCTGCTAGAGAAGGACCTGGCTACAATACGTTCCTGTAATGATTACAGCCAACATTTCCCTATGGGGATGCTGACAGTACCTAACAGCAGCAATAAACTATCTGGCCAAATTGTCAGTCTCTTAAAAGTCATTAAAAGTTTATTTTGACATTATTTGAGCTAGGGTAGTGGTAATATTTCTTGGAAACCTACAGATTTTTTAAAAATTAGGATATTGAGGGGGAATATAATATTTTACTATGTTTAATTTGGCTACTCTTGTTTACTTTTAAAGTATTTAAATTAGCATTTTAGAGACTTAATTTAAAGTGTTTTAGAAAAAAGTGGTATTTCAATTAATTGCCGTTCGTATCTGATTAGCCTTTTAAGAGATGAATGTGCAGTTGTATAGATAAGAGGGCTAACACTAATAGTAGGTAAAATATGTTTAGAATTTAATACTCAAACGAGTAAATGTTCCAGTGAAATGGCTTGATAAGCAAGTGAGCAAGAATTGTCAATTTATCTGGATTGAAATGCACAAAGTAGGTTAATATATTGTATCATCTTAATTTATTTCATATGGTGTAAAGAAAAACAGTACGCTAAAATAATCTCATAGAAAAGAGTTTCTTTAATTGTGACTTTTGGACATAGAAATTTTCTCCCATGAGGACTCATATTTCTTAGACTTGGTTTCCTGAGGTTAATGTTACATGTGTCTATTTATATGTCCATATGAGGGAACTTCAAAATGCTTGGGGGAAATTCCATTATCTTTTCATTTGCCCCAAAAGTTTTCAAGTCCCCTTCGTATGTGTGTAGGTCTGTGTGCATTTAAGTATACCTTACAATTGGAATGGATATGTTGAAAGAAACCATCCATAATTGAGTTGAAGTGGTTCCCAATTATTATGGTGGTTCATACCGGTCAGGTCTTAAAAGCAAGCCGAGGGAAGGAATACATTTCCTATTTTGGCAGTTGGTTGTTTTCTAGAGCAGAGAATCACAGGAAGCAAGCAGTGTAACTAGTGAATTAATATCTGTCCAGTGAGCTCTAATCAGCAATCTCTGACATTACTCTGAAAAGAAAATGAATTTAATAGGATTTCTGCCTCAATTTTTTTCAGACACTGGCCAAAAGAAGACTCTAGACAAAAAAGATGGAAGAAGAATGTCTTTTCAGAAGCCTAAAGGGACTCTTGAGTATACTGTAAGTTATTTGCTTTGGAAAGTGCTGTTTTATTTTCAGTTCTGTAAAGATATTCTCTGTGTATACTACAAATAAGAGATTATTATTTGTCTGATTTTACAGATCTGCACTTCATTTTCTATAAAGGTCTCATTCATAATTAAAAGCTTATGTATTAGCCATTTTTCCTAAAATAAAATTTTATTAAGCATGAAACAAAGGTAGTTATTCCAGCAAACTTAGTTTACTACAGATCATAAATTACTAGTAGTCAAAGTTACAGAGACCCTATAATTTTCATTAGGTTTGGCTTTTAGGAAAATATTTACTTATTAGGAATGTGATCTTTTTATGTTCTGGCAGTGCTAATTATGATGAAAATGGCAGCTAGAATACTTAAAAGATAAATTGATGTTACTCTTTCATAATATCCTTCTTACAATAGATCATTTGCATTGATTTATAGCTGTTTCTTTGGCTCTGAAAGTGAAACTTTTATCTGACTGCTTTGTTCTTGAAATGACCCCCAAATCTTCCTGCAGTCAGCTCTTCACATTTCTGGTTACTATGGGAAACTGAAGTGAGAAAGAGATTTATGTGCGTGGTATGCTTTTTATGTTTGATTGAATATATTACATACTTAATTGTATTAACAAGTTTTAAGGCAGCTATATTCAATGAGCTTGAATTAGATACTGTTTTTGGTTTGCCTAAATATTTATTACAAGATAACTATTAAAGAGAAGACAACCTTTCTTTTTACATAGATTTATACATTTGTTCCATCATGAAAATATCTAGGCTTACTTTGAATAACGGTTATTTTTCCATGAGTCTCTAAAACTGACTCAAATCCTTCAATAATATACTGTATATTTGACACTTTGAGATTTTTAAAGAACCACTGAGTTTGTCATACTGTGGTGCTTGCATATTGCTGTGATGCTAAAAGCTATTCCATCACTATTTCAAAGACCAGCAAGGTCACTCATGATAGACAGGTTTCAAAAGAGTTTCTAGACTAAGACAGCCTAGAAAGAAGTACCTAGATATCTAATTCTATGAAACAAACAAAATAACAAACAATGGCCAATGAAACCCTGAATAGTAACAGTTTATTGTCTGATTTAGTGCTGAAAGATGAACCCCTCAGTTTGAGAGACACTCACAATATGATTGAGGAAAGCTGCCTCCACCAACTGGTAGTGCTATCTTTAATGAAATAAATGTAGCTAACCCTCATTTGCTTGTGGGACACAACTCGAAAAGAAAGAACTGCAAACATCCGTTAATTATTGTAAGGGTAATGTATGAAATACGAACCTCGGAAAGTTGGAAGTTGTAAAGTTTAAAGGAAACACTTAAGACTAGGTATCCTATGACTTGAGGAGCTGAAATAGTCTAGTATTGGTTATTTTGAATTTGACTGTCTACTATGCTGAGGATGACAAAGAGGAAGAGCATCACTTTCATCATCAAAACCAAAAATTCATAGTGTATGCTGAATTGCAATACTATAAGGGATAGAATAACATCCATACACCTATAAGGAAGACCACTAATTGACTGTTATTCAGATTTATGTACCAACTACAAATATCAAAAATGAAATTAAAATTTTTTACCAACTTCAATCTGAAATTGTTCAAACTTTTTATCGAGATGCATTGTTAAATATTGTTGATTGCATTGTGAAAGATGGAAATGAAGCAATCTATAGCTATAAAGCATCTTCATGATAAAAAAAAAAAAGACATACCAGTGCTAACATGGTAGACTGTTGCAAGACCAACAACTTATCACAAATACCCCTCTCATCAACATACACAACAACTCTACTGGACCTCACTGGATGGAATGCCTGCAATCACAATGACTACATCTGTGGGAAGAAACAGTGGTAAGAGCAAAATATTATTAGAACAAGGCCTGGTGCTGACCATGAAAAAGATAATAAATTAATCATGCAAGTTCAAGTTAAAGCCAAAGAAAATGAAGACCAATCCATAAGAGCTAACATATGACCTTGAGTATATTCTTGCATTTATAGACCATCTCAAGAATAGATTCGACACATTGAACACTATGTGTTCTATATGTTGAACTGATTGGACATAGGGAACACTAATAACATAGAGAAAGCAAAGGGTTATTAAAAAGACAGGAAATAAAAATCCTAAATGGGTGCCAGAAGAGTTTCTGAGCCTTGCTCTTGAGTATATGAGGGGTGCCCCTCCAAACAACGGAATTTATTTTCAAAGCTATGTGTTTAAGTTTTTTTACAAAACAATCTTATCGCCTTCAAAGTGTTTTCCATTTCACTTAATACATTTGTCAAATCTGCAATTCCATTCTTGGAAACATTTTTCAAACTCAAGTGTTTGGATGGCTGACAGCACCTCCCTTGGTTTTTTCTTCACCTCTTCTATGTCATCAAATCACTGTCCATTCATGTTATCCCTCTTCATTTGCAGAAACAAAAAGAAGTTGCATGAAGCAAGGTGAGGTGATTAACGTGCATTGGGCAAGAGATGCATGCTGTTTTTTTTCCAAAAACTGGCGCTCTGAGATTGCTGCATGAGCAGCTGCATTGTCTTGGTGACAAAACCAGTCCCCTGCCTTCCACAAATCAGACCTTTTTTTGTTGCATACAGTTATGCAGTCTTTTCAAAACCACTAAATAGAAAGCTTGATTAGCAATCTGATCTGGTGGAATGAACCCCAAATGTACTATGAGTCAATATTTTTGTCAGTTATGGAATGTGTATGGACATCCAGAATGAGGTTTTTCATCATTTGACATTTCACCTTTTCTGAAAGGAGAAAACCATTTGTACACTTTAGTTTTTCCCATAGTATTGTCCTTGTAAGATGTGTTCAACCTCACAACAGTTTCTGCAGCAGCATTTTTCCTAGCAGGAAACAAAATTTTACAACAGCACACTCTTCTCTTAAATTTCCATCACAAAAAAAATGAAGTTTGAATGAAACTGTTTTTACAAAAAAATTCACTGTGACCAGAGAGAACCTTCCCAGGTGATGCCACTGGATACACCAAGAGGGAGTTGTTTGATGTTCACCTAGCGGGAAAAATGTGTACTATAAAGCTCTGCCCAGGGGAGCATTATTTCCATTTTGGGGGGAAGGGAAGGTAATCCCCTCATAAAATAATTAAAGCCAAAGGAAGACTTGATAAAGTGAAAGAACTGAACAGAAAAATTCAAAGGGTAGCTTAAGAAGACAAGGTAAAGCATTATTATAAAATGTGTAGAGACGTAGAATTAAAAACCCAAAAGAGAAGAATACATCTGATACTTTTCAAAGTATAAGAACTGAAGAAAAATAATTCAATCCTGCATTTTTAGTATTGGAGGTTCTTTGGACCAAATACTGGAAGACCCACCAAGCATCAAAAGAAGATGGAAGACGTACACAGCCACTGTGTCAAAAAGAATTGGTGTCTACCACTTCAAAAAGGCTCTGGCAGTTAATGGAATACCTATTCATGTTTCAGGAAAGGACTACAACTCTGAAGTGTTCACTGGTCTATGACAAGACATTTGGAAGACCTGGCCAACCAATTGGAAAAGATATCTGTGCCCATTCCAAAGAAACTGATCCAATAGAGAACATAAATTACCCCAAAATACAATTGATATCTCATAAAAGTAACATGTTTCTAAAGATCCTTCAAAAACCATTGTAAAAGTACTTTGACAGAGAATTTCTAAAAAGTCAAGATAGATTTAAGAGAGGATGTGGAACAAGTGATTTCACTGCAGATGTCGATGGACCTTGACTGAAAGCAGACAATATCAGAAAGAAGTGCCCGTGTTTTATTGACTATGCAAAGGTATTCAACTGTGTGTATTATAACAAATTACGTGTAATATTGCAAAGAATGAGAAATCCAGACCATTGTGTTCTGTACTACTTAGATGAAGTAGTCATTCAGACAGAACAAAAAGCTACTACATGATTTAAAGTTTTAAAAAATTGTGTATCAGAATCATGTCCTTACACTATACTCTTAAATCTATAAGTTGAACAAATAATCAAATAAGTTCAGTTATATGAAAAAGAAGAAAATATCATGGCTGGAGGAAGACTCATTTAACTTGTGATTTTCCGATGACACAACATGGTTGAAAACAATGAGGACTTGAAGCACTTATAGCGTGCTTATAAAGACAACAACCTTCAGGGTAATTACAGTGATAAACTTCAATTGTTGAACTCAGTTCCAAATCATGTTTGAACAATGAAAATGTAAAAGAATTGAATAAATTTTTCCCACAAACTAGTGGAAAGCCAAATAAATGGTTCTGAGGTCCAACAATTACTTAAAAATTAGTTTTTTCAGGACTTTAACACAGCAGCCCTAGGTTGTGGAAATATCCCCGAAAACATCTAAACACATAAATATAGTACATTAAATATCAAAAAACAGTGCAGTATTTTGTTGTTTAAACCCCATGGGTTTCAGTTTAAAACACACACAACAGAATGAGCTTATCTTTTCAATGGCTTGTGGCCTGATAATGCCTTTTCCTCTTTAATAATGAAAGTCCTATTGAGCATCTTTTCCCCCAAAGTGTCCGCTTTTGTCATAGCTGAACACTTGCTGTGGAATGAAATCATCAACTTCCACATATTAATTGAATTCAGCCACAATTTTTTTTATCAGCTTTCTTTTCACTCTCCCTTTCCCCATGCCATACTACACTGTGTATCCCTGTTCTCTTTCTGAATTTTTCAAGTAAGCCGTGTCCAGCTTTGAACACTTTAGGCTGCTCAGCGCTCGCTCCTGCAAACAGTACTTTATTCTGTGGTCCTTAGGGTCTCTCTGAGTGGTAATCAACTTGATGGCACCTACCAATAAGAGCAAAGTTAAAATAATCATGTGTGTGTGCATGTTTGTTTCTATACATACATAAAGCACATTTTAATTATAAAATCAAAGTAAATTTATTTTCAATGTGAATTGAGTAGACATTGAAAAATAACTATAATTTTATTATTTGTTTCTTTTTAAATCATTTTATTGGGGGACTCTTAGAGCTCTTATCACAGTCCATACATCCATCCATTGTGTCAAGTACATCTATACATAAGTTGCCATCATCATTTTCTTTCTACTTGAACCCTTGATATCAGCTCATTTCCCCCCTCCCCCACCCTTCCTCCCTCATGAACCTTTGATAATTTATAATTCACCCCATGTCTTACACCGACCACTGTCTCCCTTCACCCACTTTTCTGTTGTCCATTCCCCTAGGAAAGGG